AGGAAATCCTATACACTACTGTTTATGCTCTAAAAACTTTCTAAATGACTTCGTTTCGAGTAAATTCTGGATGCTACCCACTCAGGACACTCCAGAGTGTTGTTCAGCATGGGGGTGAGTAGAAAATGAAGGCTAATCATGTTTTGGGTGTACTATTCCTTTAAAGATGACCCTGCACATTTAGAGTAAGTTTGGTTCAACCTGCTGCTGTGAAGCAGGATTCTCCACCATGAACAGAATCAAAAATAAATCTGGATCCAGGCTCAAAATGAGCTCCTTGATATGTACTTGAGAATGGCTTAGTCTCCATTCAAACCAGGTTTAAAGCCTTGCAGGGCAGCATAAAGCCCACTGCTCTCATTAAGCCATAAAAAATAAATAAAATAAACGGTCAGTTCAGGTGTTTTATAAAAAATGTGAATCAGGAAATTGTCTATATATCAAACTGAAAGATTGTTCTCTACTTAAAAAAAAAGACTTTAGATTTTAAAATGAAAAAATTTTCTTTCTTTTTTTTTTTAATATTTTTTTCATTTAAAAAGTAAGTTTATAACATGGATGCATAAAAACCTCATTTTATTTCAGTGTTCAATTCTGTTTAAAGTAACAGATTATAATTAAAAATGGCTTTGGAGCTTTACTGGTTGTTGATTTTCTTTATTGCGACCCCGCTGATTTTTAATCTGTGACCCCTGCTCTATACCTTTAACTGAAATTAAGATACAAACGCAAATTTACCAAACTCAATTTTCAAAATTTTAAGAAAATTTTGTCATATTACAAATAACAAGACACCAACTTTCTCATGCCATATTTATCAACACGTAAAAAATTGGGTTTATCGCCACAGAGAAGGAAAAATAGAGAGTATCAGGCATTATGCAGGTTTATGCATGCGAGTGGAATTTAGGCCTTTTTACACAGCAGTGGCTTTCAAGTCTGCAGATTTTATACGCAGGCAAAAATAAAGTTTAATGTAGAGTCTTTATGATGGTTTTAAATGGTTAATTTTCTGTTTCAGCCAAAAATTACAGAGTTCAATCTTTTCTTTTGCCCTACCTCTCCTGCGTTGGTAAAAACCAAAGGCCCCAAACCCTAAATGCCTGCTGGTCCTTTCCCAGGCCCCTACACTTTTAGAAAGTGGACTGATCCACAGCACTTCCTGTCATACCTCAGAACAAAACATAAATAAATAGGAAAAATAATAACGCAAAGATGAATAGAACTATTAACCTGCAAATAAACTCTGTAAACAACACAAAAAATATAAATTTAGGAGTTAATTAACACAATTCAAATGGATAAATAAAAAAAAATAATAAATAAGTCCAACAGAAACATTTAAATGTTTATAATTATTGCAAAGAAATCTCAATAAAACTGAAAGAAAGATCTATATTTGCTATTTGTCCAGCTGGTTTTCAGGGAAAATGTTTGCTTATTAATATTTTATTCATTTAATTGGTTAGCTCGTTTGAACCTGGAAGAGAAGCTGTTGTTTTGCATCCAAGGACGAGCCAGCAGAGGTCCATTAAACTAATTTTTACAGTTGAAAAGCTGCAGCCGCGAAGCTGCATTCTTATCAATCGGCCGCAGCGGGCGTTATTAAAGGTAGTATATCATGGGAGGATATTCTGGATTAAAGCATGCTATTACCAGGCTGTCTAAGGTTAGGGTCGAGGTCACCGCTTGGATCCCCTCCCTAGGACTTCTCTCAACTGTCTAAACACATGATAGCTTAATGGGCCATTAACAAAATGGGCTGAAGGTCGTGTCTCAAGATTAGGTCATAATGAATTAGGGTGGTAACGTATATTTCAAAATCCTTTGAACTGTTTAAATGGAACTCATATTGAGGAAGTACAATCAATCATCCATCAGCGAATCAATGGCTGAATGCATTTTGACTGTACTATAGGCTATAAAGCATGGCTGTCAACAAAAAAATAAATAAATAATAATGAGTTTGACAGGCATCAAATAAAGTCTTTTTTTTTTTTTTTTAGCAACTGCATCCATATTGATTTTTTAGGGTCAGAGGTCATGATTGCTCCTAGAAACCAGGCTTCCGTGGACAATGCACTAATTGTATTGTTGTGCCTAACATTGAGGAAAGGGGCAACATCTGGAATATAAAAAAAAAAACATTTCAACATACACTAAAATGATCTTGATTGGAAGGACAAAATAGGAGAATATAACCGCATCGTCTGGTACTAATGAGCATCGAGGTTAGCTACTGCTTCTAATAGAAGGTATCTAAAAAGAAATAAACATTCAAACCGTTGGAGAGCAAGTCTTGTGACCACATCTTATCATTAAAATACATCGCTGATGCAGAGCTTTTAAATAACTGGAATTAAAAACGGAATCCTCCAGAACAGTCTCCATCTTCTCTGATTGCTTCAGTTTCTTTCAGAGTTGGTGTCAGTCACCCCTTAAACCTTTCTGTCTCCATGCTAACCATCTCTATCAGCTGTTAGCATTTAGTCTTACCAGTAAATTCCCAGTCTGACTCCTGCATCAATCTATTCCAGGGGTCTTCAACGTTTTCCAAGCCAAGGACCCCCAAACTATTGGTGAGATGGAGCGGGGACCCCCTAATTATATATATATATTGTATGAAATTGTGTTATATCAAACTGGTCCTATAGTCACTCTGTTACAGATGGAGTAATGTAATGAAAGTAATTTTTCCCTGGGATTATCAAAGTACTTCTGATTCTGATTCCTCATTGATGGGACAGGTGTTGTGAATGAAACGGTGCCCAGCTTGAAAGAGCTCCTGTGTGTGTCCATTGATGACTGAAAGACATCTTCTGCCTCCATTTATCTGTTTACTACAGTGTGTTGAATTCATGTTAATGTGGATTTAAATCCATTTCAATTAGTGGAAATAATTGCAGGGGGGATTAAAAACAAAGTCTAATCAACCAAAACTTTCGCGACCCCCATGCAGTACCTCTGTGGACCCTCTAGGGGTCGCGGACCACCTGTTGAAGACCCCCATTCTATTCAATTCAGTTCAGTTTATTTCTATAGCGCCAATTCACATTACATGTCATCTCAAGGCACTTTACAGTTCACCAGATCATACAGTCAAATTGATTCTAAGTTTTCTAACTAAGGAAAACCAGTTGATTGCATCCATTCATTGACTGGAAGGCAATCCCTCCCACTAAGCATGCTTGTAGTGACAGTAAACAGGAAAAACTCCCTTTTAACAGGAATAAACCTCCAGCAGAACCAGG